CAAACTGAAGAATGTGTGACTGAAAACATCGTCTGCAGATGTCAGAGTGTCAAACTTTAGTCTTTTCAGAGTCTTGCAGTGTATGTCAGGTATAAAGTGTTCCTCCTCTGCTGTGGATCCCCTCAGGGAGTCCTGAATGTTCCAGATTCTTACTGTGAGAGGTCAGTGATGCCTGAACAGCATCTCCTTCTCATCATGTTGTCGGTCAGCCTGGACGAGGCGTCCGATAAACCACCAAACAGAACATAAACAGAGGAAGTTTTTTTTCTTCTTGGGCTGCAGTTTGAGGTCGGAGCTCTCCTCCTCCCTCCTCCCTCCTCCCTGCCTGGACCTGCCTCCACATGTCGCCTGGCTCTGCCTGCTCACAAACTATTTTCCCACAGTGAGCCTGCAGCCAGAGAAAGCAGTTCCACCTCCTCAATCAAACAATCAAAGGGACGGGGAGTGATGGGAAATCACCAACGAATGCTGGTAGATGTTTTGGCAAGAAGTGAGCGGAACCTGTTGGCAGGTAACCAGCTGTCAGGTTCTCCTTCTCACCCTCGCCTTAAAATCTAATTAGCTGCTAAAATGCTTCGAGGTGCCACCCACTGCGTTCGGTGGGTTTATTTTTCCTGCGGGGTCGGGACGCATCAGCCCGACGCCCAGATCCTGTTTCAGCCAGAGAAGTGACGCAAGGATGTTGCAAGAGTTGTTCAGAGCACGTTAGCTCGGTTCTGCATTAGTGACAGTTATGTGGCGTCGGGGTAAACAGCGCCGCGGTACACTGGAGACATGGCGCTCTGTGTGGAGCCGCTGAGGACCAATCAGGAGGGCTTTCACAGATTTGTAGCACTGAGGTTGAGTTTGTTACTTTCTGCTTCTAATTTTTGTCAGTTAGGAAAGAAAATATGTTGAAAGCACAAAGCAGCTTTATTTCAGCTGCCAGAAGTGTAAATGATAAATAAAGAAGACATGTGTTTGATTATTGTTGGGGTCGCAGTCAATAAAGAACACTTTAACTCTTTTTTCCCATAATGACGACATATGACGCCTATAAGGGTGGTTCTATGGGGTAAGTGTGTCAGACTTAGCAGGATTTGGTGGCATCTGGCAGTGAACCTGCCTGAATTCCTTCATTGTCATTGTTCAGGAGGTTTTAATCAGGAGCCGAATCATCCACAGAGGTTTGTTCTTCTCCAAAAGAAATGGACCAGGTTATTCAACCTGCTGAAAACACTGAATAAAACAGTTTCACGTTACAAAACAGCGCTTCTCTGATGCTATTCGGGATGTCGGGGCTCACCCACATCAGGCCTACCATTTTCTGATCCAGATGTTTAGAGGGTTTGTGAAGTCTTGTCTGGGACGAGGTTGTTTTCTGGCACAGGGCAAGTTTAAAGTTTAAAAAAAACAAAGGCAGATCAATAGATAGAATAGATAAATCTTTTCAAAATAATGTTTCACCCCAGAAGTGAAGTTAATGTGTTGATAAGTTGTAATTTTAAGGGTTTTTGGCAGGACGTGATCGTCAGAGAGACAAAGAAGACAAACGGTAAAATTATCAACCAAGTTCTCAGTCGTAAACATGAATCACAGTTTACAGACTCATTTCCTGTTTCTGCTCTGACCTGCTGTATTTACTGTCGCTGTGTGCAAACCGTGCAGGCTTGTTGGTGATATTTCAGGTGAGGTTTGTTTCCCACCTGTCTGATGGTCTGACTGCTCGGGTTTCTTCTTCTTCTAAGTGACGTTCTCAGATCTCAGATAATAATGTTGTTATTACTCAGAGAGACGAGTTGTGATGAACAGCAATGATCCTTTAATAAAGTCTTATAAATTCAGGAGCAGTTTTTGAGGAAGTGGACATGAACGCTGAACTAACAGTGTCGTTGGCTGCGAACATGTTGCTGAGTGCAGCTGCTCACTCTCCAAAGATGGAGGCTAAATATAGAGCTGTTCCTCGTGTGTGCTGGTGTGTATGTTTCCATCTTCAGCGGAGTCAGAGAAGACAGAAACCTGAATGAATCCCCTGTGTGATGTTTGTTATGGCTCATTATGCTCCAATAATCCTGTCAGCTGCACTGAGAGCTCGATAACCTGACATCACAGCCCGAGCTGACCACTAATCTGTGAACGACATGGAGCGCCTGTGGTTTCCTGCAGGGCTGAGTGTCGGTGGAGGAGAGTTTGTCTAGCTGCTGTGGATCTACGCCAACATCAGCAGGGTTCCACAAATGTGGACGGGATGATGGGAGACCACCGAAGTTGAAGTTCAGGCACATTTAAAAGCATGTTTTATATCAAAGAGCGTGATACAACATGGACGCCGCAACAAACCAGGAACTCATCACATCACCGGGTTTCTAGTGTTTCCACGCTGAGTGGCTCGGCTCTGTGGCGGGTTTCCCACCGTAGTTTGGATGGTGGTCGGCTGTCACACAGGTCTGACGTTAGCAGGAGAGCTGACTCGCAGTGATTTTGTGTCTGTGGAGAAAATACTTTGTTTTGTTTTGAGAAGGGTCCAGCTGCAGAGCTCCATGCTCAGGCCCACCTCCACCGTCAGACCCTGTACGGTCCCCACCTCGGAGCAGGAAGTCTGAAATGGTGCTAATGCTAATTTGTTAGCAAACTAACATTAATGTTAGCTTAAATTATTACATTAAACTTTTTGAATTTTTTTCCAGCTTGTTTGTATTCTGCTTTACACCATGGTTCACGAGTTACCAAAAATCATATGAAGCAGGATTCAAACTTCAAAAGAACAAGCTGAATGTGATAATTTAGGCTAACGTTAATGCTAGTTAGCTAACAACATTAGCATAGCTAGCTGATATTAGCAAACTCATAAGGTTTTAGGCATGCCAGCTGTTAGGAAATATAAGCCAAGGTTAATATTTGTGGAGACGTCCACGTATAATATAATTTATGCCGAAGTAACATCAGACAACTTTTCAACAAGCTAGCTAATGCTGGCGATATGACCTCAAATCAATATCATGATTAACTGAACCTTTGACCTCGGTAACAATTAATGAACGATAGTTTAGTTTGTGTTTTTTGCCCTCTGGGTTCACTGACAATGTTTGTGCTGTAAATAAGCTCGACTGTTAAAGCTGGGTTGGCTGCGGTCGGCCAGATGTCACAGCTACCCGCTCGAGGGCGGGCGGCTCCTGAGAAGGTCCATGTCCGGTGTGGCTTGGTGTGGCACGATGCGTCTAAACTGGCAGTGGAAACACAAATCGGTGTTGGCTTTACTCAGTGTGGCCAAGAGTGACAATGGAAAAAGGGGGTGAGATGCTCCGGCCTCGTGGGCGGATCATGAGACAATGGGCCCCTGGGCACAGATATGCAAAGGGCCCCACCACCTCTTTTACACAAGAACAAGACACACAGTTTGTGGTGTCTCTTTGAGGTCTTTTAGTGTCCTTTGTGTGTCTCCCTGGTTGGTGCATGTGAAGGTGGGGGGGCCCCATGACACATTGGCCCCTTGGCCTGTGCCCAGTAGGCTCGTTCAGTCATCCATCCATGTCGTGCCTACAGATCATACTGCAGATGTGAGGGAACATGTTTGTTTGTCCAGGTTATTACTTTAGATGCAGATGTTGGAAGAGTGTGTAATGGACAGTGTTTGGAAATCCAATCATTTGCATATAATTGATGAAAATTTAAATTTACTCATAAATAAAAAAATAATAAATAATAAAAATTAAAAAACTACATAATGAGCCATGTATTTATTTTTATTTATTTATTCTTTGATGTATTCATGGACCTAATTATCTATTTATTTATCTCATAAATCTCATCGGCAGTCACCAGGTTATTTCTCCACAGACCCTGTGGGACGGGAGCACTGTGGCCCAGCACCCTCAGATTTTATCCAAAATTTCACGTTACTGTAATGTTCATGGGGCTCTTCCAAACCCTACTGGGACTCATAAATGATCATTTTTAAGTAGATCCCGTGCCACCACTCCCCGAGAGCCCGGGCTGTCGGAGCGCTCTTTTCAAAGCGCTGCGTTTTAACCCCAAACTAACCTAAACCTCATCCCAACCTGAACCCTACAACCAAGTCTTAACCCTCAGGCAGGCCTTTGAAAAATTGAGGACCTGCCAAAATGTGCTCTGTTTATAAAATACATTTTTTCGTCCTCACTGAATAGCATGTGCAGGTACACACACACACACAGACACACACACAAGCTCTGGGCTGTCTGTCATTCGATAGCGGTGAGAGCGATTGTGGCCTTAAGAGAGACAAAGAGTTTCAAAGTGATCTGAGTTAATGACACACACACACACACACACACACACACACATACATACACACATACATACACACACACACACACACACACTTGAAGAGACGTCAGGATGTTTCAGTGACGCCTTAAAATTTTGTTTCCTGTGTTTGTCATTTAAAACTTAATTTGATCTGTTCGTGTTCATTAAAGGTCTTTTTTGGAGAGGAGAATTAAAACTGATCGCCAGTGTTGAAGTTATTTAAAATATATAAAATAATCGTTTCAGTTTCAGTGTGTCAGCTGCGTCAGCCAACAGATGCTGATCTGTATCTGAGCCTGTTCTCACTCAATACGTTTGTTTGCCTCTGTGTAAAATCTTATGTGTATTCTGCAGTTAGTTCCATGCTGTGAATGTTGCGCCTTTATTTTCCTTGTTCGTCTGTTTCCGTCCAAAATCTTCAAAAAAGAGAGATGTTTTTACAAGTCGTGCAGTTAAAACATTTTTATATATTATTGGTGTATATGAAGTAACTGAGGCTGCGTGAATGAAATCATATTTAATTGTTTTGAATTAAATCCAGTCAGAGATCAGCTTTAATGTTCTCTGAACATGTCGGGAATAATTAATAGTTTCATGACATTGTCTCAGTGACATCTGATCCAAAATGTTTAATCTGTAAAAACGTCGTATCAAAACGCAGCAAATCATCAGATTGTTTTTTTGATTTAATAAAATGTTTGATTGATTTTCTCTCTGCCTGTCTTTGTGTGCAGCGGTCGTACACGTTGATCGTGGAAGCCTTGGACTTCAACAACGACTCGTCCTCCAGCAGTGAGTATCATCATCATCCTCATCTTCATCATCCTGCGTCACTCCTCTCTGCTCTGTTTCCCACCGACACAAACTCAACCTTTGACCTGAGAGCTCTGTGCTGAACAGACCTTGAATCCACAAAGACATCACGTGTGCGTGAAGGCGGATCAGCTTTGTTCAGACTCTGAAAGGTTTCGTAGAAAAGTCCAGATGATGAGTGAAGATTCTGGACTTGATGGACGGGGATCAATATTATCCATCAAATTATAGGCGAGTCTTTGATTTGTGTGTTTCAGACCAGCAGTGGTCGAGACTGATGATCCTGAGTTATATTTTCAGCTCAGTTCTGAACGTGTGACGAGACATTATGAATACAGATTTTTTTTGCAAATACTTAAATTATGAAACGACATTTTGCAGTTTGCTCAAATTAAATTGTTCTTTGTGTGCAGCGCGCTGGTAGTCCAGTGGTTGAACCTCAACACTGCACCGTCCCTGGTTTGATTCCAGCATGTCGCAGCCCTCCATCTCTCCTTATTACCTGTCTGCCTCTTCACTGTCGACTGTCCAAGAAACACCAAAATGCCAACAAACCCTTCAAATCAAATCAAGTTTATTTGTCAAGCCCATTTAAAAACAACCACAGTGACCAAAGTGCTGTACAAGATAAAAGAACGACACACAGATCTAAAGCAATAAAACATGAACACAAACACAAAACTGAATAACACCAGTCAGAACAATTACGAAGGTAAAAAGATTATAAAGTACTAAAATATTAAAACTACTAAGAACAACCAAAGGCTACTGGAAACATGTAACCTACATGTTTCCGTCTGGCACCAACAACCATGCCACGTTCAAAGTCACTTCAATCACCTTTCTTCATCATTCTGATGCTCCGTTTGAACTTCAGCAGCTCGTCTTCACCATGTCTACATGACTACATGTTAATGAGCTGCTGACACCTGATTGGCTGATTAGCAATTTGTGTTAAAAAGAAGTTAAACAGGTGTACCTAATAAAGTGGCCGGTGAGTGTATATTAAATATAATGAGTTTATGGGTTGAGGTGCTTTCAGTGACCTGTAGCGCCTGCCTGAGGGCATCAAGTCAAACAGGTGATGTGCTGGGTTGGAGGAGTCATCGAGGATAGCTCCGGACCTTCTGAGGCAGCAGGAGCTGGAGATCTCTTCCAAGGAGGATGGAGGGCAGCCAGTAATCCTCTGGACCACCTGCAAAGCCTTCTTGTCCCAGCGTACCACGCCATGATGCAGTACATGCCCTCAATAGTGGAGTGAGAAAAGGTCACCAGCAGATTCTGATCTAGTGTATTTTTCCCGAGAATTCTTAGAGTGCAGTCGCTGCCTTGGTGTTGACGGCCCACTCTCTTCTCTCACTTTAAAAGCTAGATCATTAATTTTATTTCGCAGCAGAAAGCTAAGGCTTCTGTCTGATGTGTCATCAAGATGGACGCCTGTAATGACATCACTGCGATATGTAACATGTGGTGCAAAAACGTGCGGTGGGGTCAGAGGAATGACTGATGAATCCATCACACCTTTTCACTCCGCTCATAAAACCAAGCATAGAACAAATAACATGGTTCAAATATGGAGTGTTAAAAAAATATTTTGTTTCTGTTTTTACGTTTAAAAATCTTCCTGATTAATATGTTTTGTTTATTTTTTGTGTTAAATGTGATGGAAAAAACATGGTTGGATTTTTATATTAATTTTTTTTTTATGACAAAATTTCATTAATTTTTAATTATTTTTTTAATTTCATTAAAAAGCTCAGGTAGTACAGATTTTAGGCATATGAAGCATTTTAAGACATTTCAAGTGATGACATAGCAAAAATACCAATGTAGGCACTTACGGACTGTATCTGTTGCAGAATTCAAAGGGTTAAATTAGATAAAATGTAAAAAAGAAAAAGAAAAACAGACACAAAGGCTCAGAGAATGAAAACCAATATTATTAATGTACATCTCATAATGTTTCTGCACAGGAATTCATGTTATGATGAAAACTGTCACATTAAACTCATCAGTAGGTTTGATTAAATATGATTCTACAATTAAACCACACAGAAGACATTAAATGACTGTTAACAAACTTCTGTCTCAGTCTGAAAATTGTGCAGAGACATTATTCCCCCTCTTTGTTTCCACCCCTCACAGACTTCTTGAGTTCCCTGTCTTGTTTACTGCAGCGCTGAAGTAACCCCGCCCCTCTTCCAGCAGCCTCTGGAGGTGTGTACATGCCCTGGATGAGTCCCATTCAGAAATCTGGTTGTAGAGAGTGTGTGAGGAGAGAGTGAAGCTGGCAGCTTTAGTTTGAGTGTGTGTTTATCACCCGGCGGTCAGCGAGGAGGTCGGAGTGAGTGTTGGCTCGGTGCTGTATTTGGCGTCCTTCAGGGAACCATTATAGGCCCAGTGCGAAGTCGGCTGACCTCTGCTCAGGTGGGCTTCAGTGCAGGCAGCGAGGGACAGGGGGGAGGGGGAGGAGTCCAGTTTATTTGAGTCCAAACCTGGAACCAGAATGTGCCTGTTATGATGTTGGAGGGAGTTTGTTCAGAAACCATCAGCAGACAAACAGAGCTGAGAGGTTGAAGCCGCTGTCACGCCAAACGAGGACTGAACAAATATTGACCCTCTCAGTTTAGCATCAGCGGGATAAGTGCTCCCGTCACGTGGTCTCTAATAAACACCAGCATCATTGTGTTACTGTGGTTCAGCTCAGGTAGCAGCCGACCTCCTCTAGCAGCCGGACACTGCTAGCTGATAAACCCAACACGGCTGCACTATGTGTTGTTTTTTACTGTCGGCTTGTGCGATAAACACAAGGTGAAAGACTGTGAGATTCTTTTTGTGTTCAGTTGTGGTCAGTAAAAGTATGTTGTCCTTTTAAGGATGCTCGATTGTGAAATTGTAGGCAAAATAATAATTTGTCTGATAATCAATACCGAAGATTTGTTGTTGTTGTTGTTGTTGTTGTCTCCTTTTGTTCCTGGAAAACAAAGAAATCTTCATTAAAATAACTGAACTGTTTTACAGTCATTCAGTTTGTTACACTACCTTTTGAATGACCACAAATGCAATTGGAAACATTCATGAAAGAACCTTAAATAATACTTGAAACATGAAAATCAACAAACAAAAAACAGAGGTGCTTCAAAAGCCTTTTTACTAAATATATCTTAATTCTCTCTAATATCTTTTTTATACTGCTGTGAAAACATCGACAAATCTCTCCTTCAAACAGCTGATTTATTCAAGTTTCTCACCAAAAACTACATTTTACAAGATTACATTGAACATTGAACTCATTTTTACGAAAAGAACTTGAATGCATCACAACGTAACACAGTGTTACCTCCGTTAGCTGTTAGTTCTGGCCCCCGGCTGCTAACAGCTAACAGCAAGGGATGCATGTATTGGCTGAACATCAGCATCGGCTGATATTCTCCTTCTTGACCGCCATCGGTCTATCAGCAAATAAGGTGAAATTTACCAATTGTTAATGAGCACGTATAAGGAGAATACAACGTTGGCAAGTGGTTTGTAGCAACCAGCATCCTGTTGTCCAGTCGTCCCGGGGGCAAAAAGAAGATCTTCCTGGGACTCCATCAAGATCACAAAACACAGTAAACTTGGTGTCAACGTGTCAGAGAACGCAACCTGTTGTTTCCCTGATAATGCTACATTCATTGTGAACAACAAATCTATGATGACATCAGCAGAAGGATAACTAGTTAATGTTAGCCGTTAGCAGCTAGTTAACGTTAGTTGTTAGCTATGAGCAGCCAGTTAACATTGGCTGTAAAGTGTGAGGTGTTAGCAGCTAATTAATGTTAGCTGATATCACAGGTTACACTAGCTGTTAGCAGCTAGTTAACATTAGCTGCAAGCAACTGTTGGCCAGAACTAAAAGTTACAGTGGTTACATTGAGTTACGTTGTGATGCGTTAAAGCCCTTTTCAATAACAATGAGTATTGCACAAAGGTTGATTATTGCATTTTCATGAGGTGTAAAAATGTAATGTTGTTAGCTGCCGCTTAACGTTATCAAGCTGCTAACAGCTAACATTAACGTACTAAGTACTAATAGTGTTAACTTGCTGCTAACAGCTAATGATAACTAGTTGCTAACAGCTAACATTAACAAAGTACTAATAGTGTTAACTTGCTGCTAACAGCTAATGATAACTAGTTGCTAACAGTTAATGTTAACTAGCTGCTAACAGCTAATGTTAACTAGCTGCTAAAAGCTAACGATAACTAGCTGCTAACAGCTAATGATAACTAGTTGCTCCCGGGGAGGATCTCTCACGACGGGTCGCCGTCAGTTCAGAGCTCTGCCTTTTAACCTGAGACACAACAGAAAAACATCGACCTCTGCCCTTGGTGATGTCATCTTATCATCTAATCAACAAGAAGAATATCGGTAGCTACAGATGTGCAGCTGATAAATTAGTGCATCCTTATTTCATTTTTTCAATTGAAAAAGGAATTCGTATTATTTTAGCAGAAAACTGAGTACACTTTAATTAAACGTTTATGAGTGATATGGTCACAATATTCAGTGTTGTCACAGATTTTCTTTTTTGCGTACAACCCTGCTTTAAATCAGTTTTTTATGCTCCAGTAACAAAGCTGTCTGTAAACCCAGACTCCCTGCGTCATATCGTCTTTTCAGAAACAGGAGCAGGACGTCAGGTTTTTCTCCAGCTGCAGCTCTCAGGCAGGTGTCGGCTCCACAGCTCAGCTGGTATTCATCGATAACGTGCCAGGTTTGAATATTTGCTCAAATATCCTGGACGGAATGGATCCAGCCTTTTTCTGAGGGTAACTATTTTTCAGATCTGCTACCTCGGCGCCAGTTTTGGCACCTGTTTTTTTTTTTTTTTTTTTTTTTTTTTAAATCCCCCATCGTGATGTGAAGTGTCACAGTTTGCTTCCAGGCCGGTGGTGTTACCTGCTTGGAGCTTTCTGCAGGTTCTTTTCAGCTCTTTCAGTCACCTCGGCCCGACCGCATTTTCCACCCCGCCGGTGAAATACCACAGAGCAGCTCCGCATTTTAAAAACTCTGTGGAATATTACAGCAGCCAACAGCTGCTGCTGTCCTCACAGAGACCGTCAGAGTTTGTCCAGCTGCTGAGGACGAGGCTCAGAGACACTCGGTCAGGCTGAAGACGATCTGCAGATATGACTGCTAATGAATCGTCAATCATTAATGATCTGTTTGTTGCTGGTTTTCTTCTTCTGTGGTAATAAACTGAAAGTTTTGACTCCAAGTTGAACAAAAGAAGCAAAATGTCACTTAAGGCTGTTTAAAGTTGATGATGGACATTTTGTTTTGTGCTGTATTAAAGAGCAGTGTCTACAGACACAAGTCAGTGTTAACTAAGTCGAACACTTGTTGTGCCTGCAGTTCTTTCACAATAAAAGCACTCCAGTGATGCGTCTTTTCCTCCGTTTACAACCAGCTGGAAGGTTTTTTTCATCTCCTCACCTCAGTGTTTTCTGTCTGACCGATCTGTTTACAGGCGTCGGCGGGGCGGTGATCGAGAGGGCCGTCCACTCAGGGATGATCAACCCGAGCCGTCAGTGGCAGAGCCTGAAGCACAACGGCCCCGTGGCTCAGTTCCACTTCCAGGTCCGCCTCAGCTGCGACGAGCACTATTACGGCTTCGGCTGCAACAAGTTCTGCCGCCCGCGGGACGAGTTCTTCGGCCACTACGAGTGTGACCACAACGGCAACAAGACGTGCCTGGAGGGCTGGTCCAGTCCAGACTGCAACACTGGTGAGCTCCCCGAGGGTTTTACTGATACATTGGAACTATACCTGTGATTCACATCAGCAGTTTATAATAGAATTTCCTTCCTTCCAGGCAGACGTTTGCTTCCTGCATTTATATTAAAATACAGATTAAAGCTCCAGTATGTCAGATTCAGGAGGAAATATTGTTTTAAAATGTCTGTTTTCTTTAGTGTATAATCAGCTGGAAGTAAGAATTGTTGTGTTCTGGTTCCCTCAGAATGAGATGTTCATATCTACATAGGGAGCAGGTCCTCGTCTATGGAGATCACCATGTTTCTACAGTAGCCCAGAACAGACAAACCAAACACTGACTCTAGACAGCGACATTCATTAGTGTCAAACACAGATTTTTTAATGTAATATTCAGCCTCCTAGTGTCCTGTTTTTGGTTTTTATCGGTCTTCATGATCAAATGTGATGATGGGCGTGGCCAGAGACATTATGTCTTCAAGTTGTCCATCTGTCCATCTCATCCTTGTGAACACGATATCGAAAGAAATCCTTAAAGGGATAGTGCACCCAAAACTGAAAATTCAGCCATTATTTACTCACCCATATGCCGAGGGAGGCTCAGGTGAAGTTTTAGAGTCCTCACATCACTTGCAGAGATCCAAGGGGAGAGGAGGTAGCAACACAACTCCACCTAATGGAGGCTGACGGCGCCCCAGATTCAAACGTCCAAAAACACATAATTGAAACCACAAAATATCTCCATACTGCTCGTCCGTAGTGATTGAAGTGTCCTGAAGCCCCGACATAAAAAGTTGTTTGGAAAAACATCATTTGAACTCTGTTTTTAGCCTCATTGTAGCCTGTAGCTCTGACTGCCTCTCTGGGCACCGAGCTCACATGTGCGTGCTTGTGTGAGACCATGAGACATGGGCACTGCCTTCATGTGTGTTCACGTGCTTTCGCTGGTCTTGCGCGCAAGTGCACACAAGTAAGCGTGGTGCCCAGAGAGGCAGTCAGAGCTACAGGCTACAATGAGGCTAAAAACAGAGTTCAAATGAGGTTTTTCCAAACAACTTTTTATGTCGGGGCTTCAGGACACTTGGATCACTACGGACGAGCAGTATGGAGATATTTTGTGGTTTCAATTATGTGTTTTTGGACGTTTGAATCTGGGGCGCCGTCAGCCTCCATTAGGTGGAGTTGTGTTGCTACCTCCTCTCCCCTTGGATCTCAAAAAGAGATGTGAGGACTATAAAACTTCACGTGAGCCTCCCTCGGCATATGGGTGAGTAGATAATGGCTGAATTTTCATTTTTGGGTGCACTATCCCTTTTAAGGGAATTTCTTCACATTTGGCACAAACGTTCACTTCGACTCAATGATGAACTGATTAGATTGCGGTGGTCAAAAGTCACAGGGTTGCTGTGACTGTGTATCTATCTCATTCTCGTGAGAGTGATATCTCAAGAACAGCTTGAGGGAATTTTGACACAAACGTGCACCTGGACTGAAGAATAAACTGATTAGAATGTTAAGGTTGAAGGTCAAAGGTCACTGTGACCTCACAAAACATGTTTTTGTCCATAACTGAAGAATTCATTCACTAATTCTGACCAAACTTGACACAAATGTCTAACAGGATAAAATAATGAAGGTCAAAAGGTCAAAGGTCAGCTTGACTGTGACATCATCATGTTTTAACGTCATATCTCAGGAACAGAAGGGGAGACATTTGGTCAGATACTGAATTGGTGACTCTAATCTTGAAACTGTGCTGATTGTATAGATCTTCTGTGTGTGAAGCATCCATGTTTTCACTGACATGGATGGAGACTGTCAGAGACACTGGACTGGTGGGCGGAGTCATACAGCCTCAGAGTGGACTTGTGGGCGGAGTCATGCAACCACAGGATGGGCTGGTGGGCGGAGTCATGCAACTACAGGGTGGACTGGTGGGCGGAGTCATGCAACCACAGGATGGTTATTCTAGTTTAGTTTATGTGTTTTTATCCATTCTCTCTCTCTCTATAAAAGTCAATAAAAAGAGAAGTAAAACTTCCAGAGACCAGGGTTCCCACGGTCCTGGAAAACCTGGAAAAGCCACAGAATAAGTAAAAGTGATTGACAGCCAGCACCAGGCTGATACACAGTAAGTGTTTGTAAATCTGACTGTACCTGTAGTTTAAAGGATTTGAAATGAACATAACCAACTATTAGAGACTGGAAAGGTTGCTGATTAATTTTCATACAATAATAAACATTTGAATGAAAGTACACTCTACAGTATATGTGATGAATGGGCTCGGAAGTCATGGAAAAGTTTTCACATTTTGTCCATGAAAATGTGGGAACCCTGAGAGACTAAAAACTTTCTGAGAGAGACGATCCATCAGTTGACCTGTAGTCACTGTCACTGTGTTGATGATGCAGCTCAGCGGCGGGACTGTTTCCTGTCGGTGCGTTTAGATGCCTGTAGGAAACCGGAGACATGTGTGACAACGGTGTGTTTGCTCATAGTTTGTCTCTCCGTCTCTCTGCAGCGATCTGCAGGCAGGGCTGCAGCACCGAACACGGAGTCTGTAAACTTCCTGGAGAGTGCAAGTGAGAACCAACACACACAAAAACACACACAAGCAACACACCTTTTCTGTGTGTCTGTATCTGATGGTGACGGCAGAGATGACGACAGGAAACACAAGACGGAGTGAGAGGAAGTACATGATACACATGTCCCCAACTGGAGTCAAACTGGAGACGATGTCAACATTTAATGAAATATTCCAAGAGTTGATTTTATCATTTTGAGTCATTAGAATATATTTTTTTTATTTTGATCTCTTTATTAACTTTTTTTTATTCAGAATATTATAAATTGAATATAAAATCACTGTTTCAGCAAATGGAAAATATTAAAACTGAACTGAGCAAACTGATCACAACATACAGCGCAATGTCAAAGTAAATGTGCAACAATGTATAAAAATCACTTTGAGAAACACAGAAAACAAACAGCAATATTTTTTTAGTTACATCCAAAAATTAAAACAATCAAACAAGAAATTAATTAAATTCATTTTCTGCGCCAGCGTCAGAACACCTTCAGTCCCAACAGCGTATTGTAGGTTAAAAACTAAAACTAAATAAATACGGAGCCGTGTGTGGCAGGGTGGTAACATTGCAAGAATAAAATCAGAGTTTACGAGATTAAAACCATAAATTTACAGGGATAAAAAGAATATTGTGTGAGATTATAAAGTCATAAATGTGGGAGAAAAATGGCTTCAGAGCTGTCTGCCAGAGAGTCAGGTGACGTCGTCTAAAGAGCCACAAAATCCACGCTGTCGTAAACTGAAACAATTTTTAGTAGTAGATGAAACTTGTTCTTGTGTTTTATCAGGGTTCCTGTGAATCCTTAATCTGAATGAATGAAGCTAAAAATAAACCTTCAGTTGGTTTTAAAATGTCTCAAAAGTGGTGAAGATGTTTCTGAGATGGAAAGTAGGAGTTCATGTCTTGTTTTTCTTTTCTCACCTTGAACTGTAAAATCTGTAAATAATTTGCATAATAATAATAGCTGGGACGTTCAGACGGTCCTCAGTCTGTAGTTAGCTTTTCACTAGAACAAAAATGTTTTACATTGCAGTCAACATTTGGACATAATTGTCCCTCACTCCACGTCATTGATGTCAGTTCATGTTTAGGTTTTTTTTTTCAGGTTTGTTTATTGTAAAATGAATCCTAAATTTTATTTCCAGTGGCACAAAAAGAGTCTAAACATCTAAGATCTAACTCACCTGAAGCTGCAGGAACTCTGTATTTATCTGTGCAGAATTTTGCAGACAGGAAAATCTGATTTATTGTCATTATTTGAGTTTATCACAGTTCTTTTGCTCAGTGAAATGTTATTTTATGCTAACACCATAAATCATCCATGCACATTTGGACTGGCTCCAGGCCGGCTCCAGGCTGAACACCACTGGTGCCCGGCTCTGATTCAGATGATTCATCTGATGCTTCATTGAATTATATAACTTACAGGCTGATATTATTACTGTCCTGAGGGTAAAGGTCAGAACATATCATGGATGTATAAATTAAATATTCCAACATCAGCTGGAGTTCGACTGTGTCCACTGCAGCGCTGTTGAGCACAGCAGTGTGAGCGGCCTTGAGCGAGGCCTCAAAACCCAATAAATGACGATTGTTTTCAGCTGCCATATACACCGATCGGCCAAAACATTGAAACCACTGACAGGTGAAGTCAACAACACTGATCATCTGGTAACAACTGCCATCAACAATGCCGTCACCATGAGGGGGTTTATATGGTCTGGTCCAGGTGGGTGGAGCTTGTCAAGTAGCATCCACATGAATGTCGGAACCAAAGGTTTCCCAGCAGAACATTTTAATGTAACAAGATGATCAATGTTTTTCACTTCACCTGTCAGTGGTTTCAATGTTTTGGTGTCAATCATTCACTGTGATCAGGAGTTAAGAACGTTTCATGAATCACACATGAACCCAAACATAAGAAGATTTCCACGCTCGGATCTGCGCTCGTTTGTATGGTAGACAAATGAGAGCCAGTGACCTCATTTCATAAATAGAAATTATTGTAACTGTGTGTGTGTGTGTGTGTATGTGTGTCAGGTGTCTGTATGGCTGGCAGGGCGAGTACTGTGATCAGTGTATCCCTCATCCCGGCTGTGTTCACGGCAGCTGTGTGGAGCCCTGGCAGTGTCTCTGTGACACCAACTATGGAGGACAGCTGTGTGACAAAGGTACACACACACACACACACACACACACACTGCCGAACACATCTTTTACCATTTTAACAGATAAAACGATGATGTGTCTGGTGAACTTTGTGGCTGATTGTCTGGTGAGGTAACCTGTTGGTTGCGTCTTTGCAGATCTGAACACGTGTGGGACGCTGCAGCCGTGTTTGAACGGAGGAACCTGCAGCAACACGGGACCAGACAAATACCACTGCTCCTGTCCCGAAGGCTTCTCTGGGGTCAACTGTCAGAGAGGTGAGAGCAGCAGCAGCAGCAGCAGCGTCCGTGGTTCAACTGTCTGGTCTATGAAGCGTTTTCTGCCCTTTACTCAGAGCTTCAGTTTTACTGTTGACAGGATTAAACACTGAATATTACAAAATAAAGACATTGGAAAGTAACAGTAAAAATGGATTTATGAAAGTAAAAAGGAAACCTGAATGAAACATTGTGAATATTATAGTGACACCAAAACCAAAAGAATCATGAAGAGAATGAAGGAGGTCAATAAATTTAGTTTTGGTAGATTTTGGTTTGATTTGAAGTCCTGATGAAATAACTGTATGACTGCACCACCGTGGTTAGCATTGTTACCTGGTTTGACCCCAGGATGGAGGAGCCCTTCAGTGCTGAGTTTGCATGTTCTCCCTGTGTCAGCGTGGGTTTCCTCCAGGTGCTCCAGCTTCCTCCCACAGTCCAAAGACATGCAGGTTAATTGGTGACTCTAAATTGTCCGTAGGTGTGAATGTGAGTGTGAATGGTTGTCTGTCTCTATGTGTCAGTCCTGTGATAGTCTGGTGACCTGTCCAGGGTGAACCCTGCCTCTCACACAGTGTCAGCTGCCCAATGAGGATGATGGTGTTAGTGCAGAATAAGATGTCTACAACAAGTACTGGCCATATTTCCATGACAGTCTCTGTGTACAGTCATTATCCCCAGAGGATAGATCATAATCATTTTGGTGACAGCTGGATTTGAACTCATCAGGAGAAGAAAAATTCTACCCATGCAAAAGAAACAGAACCTGCTGGTTAGATTGTCATGACACGTTCTGATCTCATCCTGCTCCCCAGAGGATGAACCTTTACGTTTTAATCACCCCAGTTTGTGTTTAAAGTCACACGACGTCTTCACAGCGAGTCATTACTCAGTCAAATGTGAACACACACACCATAAACACACCGCCGGTGTCAGGATGACTCACTCTTTCCAGTGACAGTGGTGTGTCTGGTGTCCACTGTGGATAAATGTCCACACAGCTGGTTAGAAATCATTAAAAAGACGCCTCGTTTCACTTCAGTAATCGTCATGTTTAGACATTTTCTTTAATGTCAAAGGTAATCTAGGTGATGGTTGTCTGTTTCCATGGTTACAGTGTTAAAAGTTAATGCAGCGTAATGCTCTTCATGATGCAGCACAGTGTAAAGAGATATAGACTCAGATGTCAAACCTATTCTTTTATAAAAAAAAATGTTATAGTACATGATTAGTACGACACACACAGAGGCTGATGGCGTGTGTGAGCAGCTCATGTTATCCTGAAATAATCAATGCATGGCGTCCGTAGTCACACAGGTAGTGACCAAGGGTGAGTAAATAAAAGGAGAGCAAACTGAGTGAAACAAGACGAAGGTTCAAAGGTCTCGTCTGTATTTAAGTCTCACATAGGTAAATGAATCTTCACTGTCAGTGACTTGTGTCTAACCACTGAGCTGACTGGAAGATGTCCCTCCCCTCTGTCTCTGTCTCTGTCTCTGTCTGTCTCAGCGGACCACGCCTGTCTGTCCAGCCCCTGTCTGAATGGAGGAAGCTGTGTTGAGACCAGTCAGGGTTTCGAGTGTCGCTGCTCCCCCGGCTGGACCGGACCCTCCTGCTCCCTCAGTAAGACCTGCTGAAACCTTTCATCAGATCCTCTCTGAACCTCCTGTGATGCTCCATGAACCTGGTCACTTCCTGTCTCTGTCTGTGTGTCTCAGATGTGGACGAGTGTCTGGTGAACCCCTGCAGTCACGGAGGAACCTGTCAGGACATGGTTAACGGCTTCAGGTGTACCTGTCCTCCTCAGTGGACGGGGAAGACCTGCCTCATCGGTCAGTGCTCCTTAAACTCCGAACGGCTGCTCTGCTCCATCAGACATTTCACATTTGTGGTTGAGGTTTGAGGCTGTTTAGGAAACTTTATTTGTGATGATTCATCTCTTCCACTGTGGAGATATTCCATCAGTTTTATATAAAAATAGATCTCGTCAGCTTCCTGTGGTGTTTCCAGTCCTTCACCGCCTCTCACTGAGGCCCCTGAGGTGTTTCACCTAATCTCCAGGATGATCCCGGGGGAAACAGTTGTGGTTTGGAGGCTTATCGCCTCACTGCAGCCCAAGTCCTCCACCAGCCAGCAGCCGCATGCTCCTCAACCTCTAACTGTGTCGTTCAGTTTGCCAGCCCTCGATTTGGACTCTGTTTTCCTCTGCTGAATGATTTTAGACGCATCCGCTGCTTTCAGTCGTTCCTCCTGCTGACCAAGGACTCAAAATGAATCCATTAACTCTGTTTACATTTCATTATTCCAGTGACTCAGGAATGGTATTTGTTCCATCTGTGGTCCTGGTGCTCATCCTCCTGACCTTTGACATCTGTGACCTCTGTTGTTCACTGACTGGTTAATTGATGCGAGCTAATGAAGCGTCTTTTAAACCTTCAGTGTGACGGATTTAGTGGCGCCAAGCAGTGAGGATTACAGACTGCAAGTTATTAAACTTCTCCTGGTTAGAATTCCTTCAGTGTTGATTGTTCAGGAGGTTTTCACCAGGAGCTGAATTATCCACGGAAGTCTCTTCCTCTCTGAAACAAACAGACCTGAGGTCTCATTTAAAAACTTTGCGTACGCCCAAACCGAGGCCTGAAAAAGGCGTACGCCACTTCCCGTGCGAAAGTTGTGATCTATACAAACAGACTTGATGGAGAAACTTTAACCCATGCTTACCAGGAGACGAGATTGTAGAAATTGTCAAATATCTTTTTTGCTGCACGCCATTTTTGGCTTCTGTCTTTACGTACATTTTTAGTGTGGATCCTACACACTGTTTTATAAATGAGACCTCAGCTGATTTAAACCAGTAGAAACAAAGAATGTTTTTCCAACGCTGCTCGTCACAGAGGAGCCACGAACTACGTAAAACATGAATGTCTCTATCTAGAGTCAGTGTTTGGTTTGTCCCTTCTGGGCTACTGTAGAAACATGGCAGTGCAACATGGCGATCTCCGTAAATGAGGACCTGCTCCCTGTGTAGATATAAACTAAAGGACCTAAAGTTGCACTCATTGGTTCCTTTCTTTGCTCGATTTTTGTACAGAATCATCCATCTGACAACATCAGGGTGTATTTTAACTGCTCTTTGTAAAAAAGGTTGTTCATTCTGCTCGTCACTGTTGTGTTTCAGATGCCAACGAGTGTGATGACAGCCCCTGCGTCAACGCCAACTCCTGCCGAAACCTGATTGGCGGATACTTCTGCGAGTGCGTCCCTGGTTGGACGGGTCAGAACTGTGACACCAGTGAGTAAGACGCACCAGCGCCACACTGATGATCTGTGTAATGAGGAGGAGATGGGACGAGGCAGCTGCAGCAAAAACAATCATCTTTACATCTGGAGAGAAACAAAAGGCTTTTGTTTTGAAACTTCGTTTGGGGGTCGTCCTAAAAGTTAAAAGTCAGATTTGGTGTTTTGTCATCAGATTTTTTTTATCCAGTGCTCTTAAAGGATAACCTCGACATTAGGGCTGCAACGATTAGTCGACTAATTGATGACTAATAGACTATTAAAATAAACGGTGACTATTTTACTAGTCAACTAATCGCTTAGAGTCATTTTCCATAAAAAAGTACTATAAACTACTCTTATTGCAGCTTGTTATGTTCAGATATTGGCAGCTTTACACACTCTTCCATGACAGTGAACTAAAACCCTTTGGCGTGAGAACGAAACAAGACATTAGATGACATCATTTTGAGGTTTGGGAGAGACAGACCGACATTTTTCAACATTTTAAAACACATTTTTTTATAAAATGATTCGTCCACTAATCGAAGAAATAATCAACAGATTAGCCGATAATGAAAATAATCGTTAGTTGCAGCCCTACTCGACATGTTCCAGCCCTATTCCCCCTGTGTATGTGTCTAAGGGACTGACGTGAATCAGTATTTGTACTTGGTCCAGTATTGAGTGAGAGGGCAGCAGCCGGCAGCCGTGCCTCAGGCCGGGCTGTTGAACACTGTTAAGAGATGATCAGCAGTTATTATGGGACTTTTGCCCAATGACGCTAAATAAAACTGCCTATCTCGACTTTAAAGATATGCACTACGCAGGATTTCCTGTCATACAGAAGTAATCCCTCTCAGTCATCACTTACGACACTCTCACTTTGTGGCGGTGAGACTCCGCCCTCTGCCTGGAGTTTTTATGTTGTTATGCCTCCACGCCGCCAGTAGCCGTGGCATGAAGCATTGTGTACATACATATGTACGTACATCCTATCCTCATGAGCGTAATGTCTCAAGAACACCTCCAGGGAATTTCTTCAATTTTGGCACAAACATCCACCTGGATTCAACAATGAATTGATTAGATTTGGTGGTCAGAGGTCAAGGTCACTGTGACCTCATCTGTCTAATTCTTGAGAACGCAATATCTCAAGAACACCTCGAGGGAATTTCTTCAAACTTGGCTTTGAGTCAAGGATGAACTGATTAGAATTTTATGGTCAAAGGTCGATGTGATTTCACACAAGTCATACAGCCGCGGGGCAGTAATTCTTGTCTCTTATTTTCTGTGTTCAGGACTTTTATGGGCGTGTACCTCCACAGCTCTCAGGTGAGGTTGGAGCTTTATAAAGAGGTAGCGACCGGGTGCCAGACCGATAGCTGCAGGCATCCAAGAGACACCGCACTGAAAAAATACAAATATATTGAGAAAACGCTAAACAAGAATCTGGGGTTGGCTTTTATTTTCACTGGCGAGCGTGTTCACACACCGTAATTGACAATCCTGCATAGAACACCTTTAAGTGTTTAAGTGTTCGCCGTCTCTCAGCCTGAAACTGAGCTCTAAAGTAGGAAGGAAGTAGAAAGAGGAGAGCAGCAGGAAGTTCATCACGAGGTAAAAGCTTGGTAACATCAAACCTTTCAGAACAATCGTTTAAATGTTTCCTGCTCGACGTGCAGCTGCTCATCTGAAGGAAAACTGCTCTTTTTCTATTTTATGTTTTTATCAAAATCTCACAAAAAACTTGGTTTATTTCCGCAGATATCAACGACTGTCGAGGTCAGTGTCAGAACGGAGCGACATGCAAGGTGAGCCTCAAATGATTTACACACTTCCTGTTTGGAGTTTGTTTTCAGGCCTTTTTCTTTGTGCAGCACACACACTTTGTCTTCACCGCAGCTATAAACAGCAAATGCTGAGCCATGCATGAGACATGACTGCGTGTGTGTGTGTGTGTGTGTGTGTGTGTGTGTCCATGACAACAACAGATCTGATTTATCCAAACACTCTCGTTTCCCAACAGAAGATAAACAGTCTGTCTTGTTCTGTACAAATGCTGATTGCTCCTTTCTCTCTTGTTGCTGTTCTTCTTGTCACAGCGGTTTATTGTTTACTGATAGGAGCCAGATTACATGACATCAGCAGCGTTACCCGTCACTGTGCATGTTCAGCGTACACAGATTGATTTACAGTATTTATGGTTCAGTGTCACAGTCGGAGGGAAAGAGTTTCTCACTGAAAACAGTTTTTTAGAGGGTGAAACAAAATCGAAAGTACAAACTGTACTGACTACAAGTGTAACATTTAAAACTTTAAAGACTAATTTAATAAAAAAGTCAAAGTATTTGACCTCTCTGAACATGCTGTGTAGTTTAGCTGAAAGCTAATCAGTCCCCTCAGGATGTCGCGGTCACAACAATTAACGCAAATTCAGCCAATCCAAGTGAAGTCTATGCGACTGTAATTTTGTCCAGTGACTGCTACTACTACTGCAGATCTACATGCACACACACACACACACACACACACACACACACACACAGTCAGTATGTTAACATGACATCAGAGAAAATCAAGTTATTGTGTTAGTCTGACTGAAATGGTCCTAAAGTGAATTTGTCACAGTGACGTACTGAGTGACAGGGCTAACTGTTAGCATCACACGGCTAACGTGACCCTGTGTTTATTCACAGGTTTAACAACAGAGTTGAGCCGTTTAAGTGTTGGTGTGAGATTGTAGGAATTAACGGCTCAGTTTGGATGTTAGTTAACTAACTTAATGCATACGTACAGTAACTGTCGTTATTTCTCTCTCACTCAGGACCTGGTGAACGGTTATCAGTGTGTGTGCGCTCCAGGTTTTGGCGGCGAACACTGTGAGACGGACGTGGACGAGTGCACCAGCGGGCCGTGCCTCAACGGTGGCCGCTGCCACGATGAAGTGAACGGCTTCCACTGCCTGTGTCCACCTGGTTTCTCTGGAAGTCGCTGTCAGGTGAGCGGACGCTAAGACACAGAAACAGGAAGTGTGCTTTTCCACACTCTGACCTGAATCTTCTCAGTTATTCATGTGGTGTTGTTTATGTGCTACACTCACCAGCCACTTTATTAGGTACACCTCTTCAACTGCTCGTTAACACAAATAGCTAATCAGCCAATCACGTGTCAGCAGCTCATTAACATTTAGTCATGTAGACATGGTGAAGACGAGCTGCTGAAGTTCAAACGGAGCATCAGAATGATGAGGAAAGGTGATTGAAGTGACTTTGAACGTGGCATGGTTGTTGGTGCCAGACGGGCTGCTCTGAGTATTTACTGGGATTTTCAGCACAACCATCTCTAGGGTTTACAGAGGATGGTCCCAAAAAGAGAAAATATCCAGTGAGTCAAAATGCCTTGTTGATGCCAGAGGTCAGAGGAGAATGGCCAGACTGGTTCAAGATGATAGAAAGGCAACAGGAAGTCAAATAAGCACTGGTTCCAACCAAGGTGTGCAGAAGAGCATCTCTGAAGCAACAACACCTTGTCCAACCTTGAAGCAGATGGGCTACAGCAGCAGAAGACCACACCAGGTGCCACTCCTGTCAGCTAACAACAGGAAACTGAGGCTACAATTCACCAAAACTGGACAATAGAAGATTGGAAAAACCACATTCAGATGGAAGCATGGATCCATCCTGCCTTGTATCAACGCTTCAGGCTGCTGCTGATGGTGTAATGGTGTGGGGGAGATTTTCTTAGTACCAACTGAGCATGGTTTAAACACCACAGCCTACCTGAGTATTGTTGCTGAGCGTGTCCATCCCTTTATGACCACAGTGTACCCATCTTCTGATGGCTACTTCCAGCAGGATAACGCACCATGTCACAAAGCTCACATCATCTCAAACATGACAATGAGTTCACTGTACTCCAAAGGCCTCCACAGTCACCAGATCTCAGTCCAATAGAGCACCTTTGGGATGTGCTGGAACGGGAGATTCTCATAATGGATCAACTGTGTGATGTCATCATGTCAATATGGACCAAACTCTCTGAGGAATGTTTCCAGCACCTTGTTGAATCTGTGACACCAAGAATTAAAAAGGGGGTCCAACCTGGTACCAGCAAGGTGTACCTAATAAAGTGGCTGGTGAGTGTATATTATGAGTGAAATAAGCAGTCAGAACTGCGGCTGAGCATTTCCTCCTTGGATCTGCGGTGCACCAGTGACAGTCTCAAGAGTACAGTGAAACGAGTGCTGTCGGAGGAGAAGCAGTGAAGCTTCACTCTAACACGTTTGTTCTTATTTTCAGGCGATTATACACTAAAGAAAACAGACTTCTTAAATTATATTCCATTTCTATAAATACATCTCCTAAATCCTACACACTGGAGCTTTAAACTCCTCCTCCTCCTCCTCCTTCACATTCTTCCTCTTCTCCTTTCATTGTTTCCTGAGATAATCGCTGTAACTGACCCACAAACTGGTAAAATCTGCTCTCAGCTAACAGACGTCAGATAATGGTGATTGCACTGAAGCTCTTAAAGAGAGAGTGTGTTTAAAGATATCGACAGTCTGTTGGCTTCTGATTGGCTTCTGTCAAAAAATGATTATAGTCATTAACATCTGAAATCTTCAGCCACCCTGGAGTCCTCTCAAAGGTCTGTTGGCGATCTGTTAGTGGTTACCATGGTGATGTGTATTGTACAGGTGCCATAGACACAAGAAATGCTGACGTGTCGTTTGTCACAGTGAGAAGCTGAATTGTTCTCTCTGTCCACAGCTGGACATCGATTACTGCCTCCACAGTCCATGTCTGAACGGCGGCCGATGCTTCAACCTGGCGTCCGACTACGTCTGTAAATGTCCCGAAGACTTCGAGGGCAAGAACTGCTCTCACCTGAAGGACCACTGCCGCACCACACCCTGCAAAGGTTCACATGCACTCCATGTTCACTCGTTAGTCATCTCGTTCATGTTCGAGTGCTCACACGGGTGGAAAGTGTATTTAGAAAAGACTTTTAATCATATCCAGACTCTGGTTTATGGTTCTGTTTCCTGGAACTTCCTGGACAGAAACTAAAATGTAATTCTATATTCACAGGAAGGATTGTGTCATTTGTCTCATTATGCTAAGCTAAGCTAACCTTCATGTTCAGCTTCATATTCACTGTACAGACATGAGAGTGGTGTCAATCTGAGCCTCTAACTCTGAGTCAGAAGAATAAATGAGCATACTTCCTTCCTCCTCCAGTGATTGACAGCTGCACAGTGGCGGTGGCGTCCAATAGCACAGCGGGCGGGGTGCGTTTGATTTCATCCAATGTCTGCGGCCCTCATGGGCGATGTCGCAGTCAGGCTGGTGGGCAGTTCAGCTGCGAGTGTGAGGAGGGATTCACCGGGACATACTGCCACGAGAGTGAGTCCAGACATTAATATTACATTCTGCTTTGTGTTTTTGTCCATCCCATAATAATAATATGGTTTTCTTTTTTGTGTTCTGTTTCTTTACATTTACTTTAACAACGCAACTGAAAAAGAAAATAATAATTCTTTGCATCTGTCAGATATAAACGACTGTGAGAGCGCCCCCTGTCTGAATGGAGGAACCTGCATTGATAAAGTCAGTCAGTATCAGTGTATCTGTGCCGACGGCTGGGACGGACCCACCTGCCAGAACAGTGAGTCCTCCTCCTCCTCGTCCTCCTCCTCCTCGTCCTCAGCTCGGTGCAGAGCGGACACGTTGGATGTGCTCTGACGTTTTGTTTCTTGTTGCGCAGACGTCGATGACTGCAGCTCTTCTCCCTGTCAGAACCGCGGCGTCTGTCGAGATCTGGTCAACGATTTCTACTGCGAGTGTAACAACGGCTGGAAGGGAAAGACCTGCCACTCCAGTGAGTTTATATGTGTGTGTGTGTGGGAATGTTGGTGATAAACTAAAGGATTCCTTTGTGTGTTGAGAACATTCTCCTTCTCAAACAGGACAGGAGGAGTTCCCACAAACATAAAATGTGTGTGTTGTTTGAGCCCTGCAGGTGTCCAGAGGTTCATTTTCCGACTCGCTGATGTCTGTTTTTATTTCCAGGAGAGAGTCAGTGCGACGAGGCGACCTGTAACAACGGAGGAACCTGCTACGACGAGGGCAACACCTTCAAGTGTCTGTGTGCCGCTGGCTGGGATGGCGCCACCTGTAACATTGGTCAGCATGATGCCACGTTTTCTTTTTCATTTTTAAAGCGTGTCTGTTTCAGTGAAGACGTCTGACAGTCGTGTTTGTGTCTCCAGCGAAGAACAGCAGCTGTCTGCCGAGTCCCTGTGAGAACGGAGGAACCTGTGTGGTGGACGGAGACTCCTTCAGCTGCGTCTGTAAGGAGGGCTGGGAGGGCGCCACCTGCAGCCACAGTGAGTGACTCGCTTTTATCTCATTGTTGTTGATGTTTGTGCAGCTCAAAGAAAAGGATCTGTGCTCTGGTTACCATCGATGTCTGTGTCAAACTTAAATCGTAGTCTGTATTAAAGTTGTAGAGAAAAAGTGTTGCCCTGTCCGAGCTGCAGAGGATGTTTGATTTGATCGATATTCTCATCCAGAGTCGGACTGAAGAGGTTCAAACCTGCGCGATGTGGCGAACACAGTGACTGAAGTCTAACACGGTATATTTTTTTCTTTATTTTCCAGATGCCAACGACTGCAGTCCTCATCCCTGGTGAGTTCAACACACACACACACACACACACACACACACACACTAAAATCCCTGAGTTCAGTCACAGTGAGCCGAGTTAACTGAACAGTCTGATGTTGATGACGGCTGCTGTTCTGTAAAACAAAAGAAAACATTGATAAAACATTTCTGAAATTAGTTTGCAAAGCTCGAGATGTCTGGTAGCAGCATGTGATCCTTCAGCTCCAGTCAAAACTTCATGTTCTGACGGTGAGAGCTGTGACGTTTGTAGTGATAAACTCATATCCAACATTAAGTTCTCCTTTTTGGCCTCCTCCTCCTCCTCGTCATGCATTCGTTCAGCAAATCAGATCTGGAACAAAACAACTTGCTCGCTGCCACTCTCACTTTTTATCTGCTCAGCTCCCACTCTCCTCTCTGCAAGCCACAGAGTCTGAGACGGCTCGTATCTTAAAAAGAAAACACAAATAAGAAATATAATATTTTTCAGCGTGTAGTTTAGATGAGTGTTGGCTCCAGCTCAGTACGGTCAGGGTTATTGATTTATAGCAACCTTTTTGCTTTTTCACGGGGAAATGACTCAGACAGGAAAAACCGCACTTGTTTTTTTTTTCCAGAATAAAAGTCTTGTTGTTGCACACAGTGTTAAAGCTCCTCTCTGTCCTCCTGCAGTTACAACAGCGGGACCTGTGTGGATGGAGACAACTGGTATCGGTGTGAATGTGCTCCGGGGTTCGCCGGCCCAGACTGCAGGATCAGTGAGTGTTGACCTTTGACCCTTTCACAAACATCTATCCCTCCGCTCATCTTTATTATTCCTAATGTGTTTCCTGTTTCTTTTTCTGCGCCTTTCTCATTTTCTGCTTTGCTCTTCTGTCGTCTTACTTTAGCTCCGTCTCTTTCTACCTCTGTTCCTTTACGTTAAAGGGACAGTTCACCCCAAAATCTAAACTACATATTTTTCCTCTCACCTGTAGTGCTGTGTATCCGTGTAGACAGTTTTGGTGTGAGATACAGAGTCTATGTAGTGGAACTAGATGGTCAACATCAGTGTCTCTTTCCAGAAGTCATGACCGGGTTACTCAGAATAATCCACAGACCTTGTTGTGTTTCATGTAGGAACTATTTTCTTTCTGCTGAACTACACCTGCTAACTGTATCACTGCGCAGAGAGAAGTGTGAATCTACCGCTAGCTCACTTAGCAACACTGAGCTAGTTAATGTTGGAGTCCTGCGGGGTCCATTTCTGAAAACCCGCCCATACCCATAAGGCTCAGTACCAGAACTGACCTTTTACCTGTCATTATGTCGAAGTCAAAGCCACACCTGTGATTAACCCCTTTCAAAATAAAAGCAACTGCAGCTTGATAATAGAGATTTAGATGTTAGAATATTACACATATACTACAAAGCTTTTTACTCTGTTTTATTCTGAAAAATTAAAAATAGATTTTGTTCTCACCTGCTGCCCGCCGACGTGGAGTTCATTTTTACTCATGAGTTTATATATACACATATTTGTACCTGTTGCTCAGCTTTTTGTGGGTTAACCGTTGGGTACCAGACCCCGCTGAGGCTCAAGCTCAGTTGAGGAGGATGCCATTTATGTCACGAGCCTCTTGTCCATGATTCACACACTTCTTCTGCACAGTGATGCGGTTGATGGGTGCAGGTCGGTAGAAATGGTTCCTACATGAAACTGTTCACAACAAGGTCTGTGGAACATCTTGAGTAACTGGGTCATGATTTCTGAAAAGAGACACTGATGCTTAAGTAAATCTCCCTGTAACAGACATTCTTTCACTATTGTGTCATTTTATTATTTAAATGATTAAGTGAAAAACCAAACAAACAGATAATCAATAATAAAACTCAGCTGCAGATGTTTCTCTTTGACAGCTCTGTGTAAATAGTTCTCAGCCTCTCTGTGTTACTGAGGACAGAGAAATATATATAACATTAAAATAAAAACTGACCCTCATCTCTTTCAGACATCAACGAGTGCCAGTCGTCTCCCTGCTCATTCGGCTCCACCTGCGTGGATGAAATCAACGGCTACCGCTGCGTCTGTCCACCAGGAAGAACCGGCCCCCGCTGCCAGGAAGGTAAAACCTCACACAGTTTGTTTGCTTTTTTAAAAAGAGTTTTTATGCTGTAACAGTTTTGAGACTTGATGTTCACATAATGTCTCTGTCCTCGGCATGAAAACAAAAAATCAGGATTCAAAACACCAGCGGATGAATCGTAGAGTAAATGTAACTGCTGGTACTGTGATCTGAAGATTGACTCGTGTGAAGTCGGTGTTGGTGTTGATCAGAGTTGAGTGGTGATGGTGCTGCTGGTGGTTTTTGTGCTGCAGCGTCGGGGAGGCCCTGTGTGGTCGGAGGGCTGGTGGCTCTGGATGGAAGCAGATGGGACGAAGACTGCAACACCTGCCACTGTCACAACGGCAGGATCACCTGCACGAAGGTACAGCGGAGACCTCATGGTTACGAGTACTGTGTACTGTATAAAAAAACTAGGAGTGAGGGAAATCAGTACAGCATTGTATCACAACATTTTTGTGTGGCAATATTATATTGGAAAGTAGGAAAGTAGTTAAAAGTATATTTCATTCTCAACTAAGGAAATGGACGTCGTTCTGTTCCGTCACAGTAAAATGTAAAAACTGACCAGATAGTTTTGTCTCTGGCAGCTGTGGTGTGGACCTAAAGCCTGCAGCCTCCACAGTAAGCCTCGCAGCGCCGACTGTCCGGCCGGTCAGACCTGCTTTGCGGTGCGAGACGAACGCTGCTTCGTGAAGCCCTGCTCCAGCCAGGGGGAGTGCTGGAGCCCCACCCACCAGGTCCCGCCCACAGCCAGGTGCCACTCAGAGAGCAGCTGCGCCAACGTCACCTTCACCTTCAACAAGGACATCATGGCAACGGTCAGTTTGGTTTCCCGCCGTCTTCCTCCTTCATCTTCTCTCTGTCCAACTTTATCTGCACACTGAGCAAAGGTCGGCAGATTGAAACTCAGATTTTTCAAGGTTCTCCTCCAGAAAAATTTGAGTTTCAGAGACTTTGTTTCCTGCGTTTGGTGACGTTTAACGAATGAACTGCAGCCACACTTTAATGTTAAATACTGTTAGTTCTCAGGAAAGGATACAGAATGATTCAACTCTCTGACCTGAACCTGCGTGAATCTCTGGCATAAACTAATATTCAGTTGTAATTCATTCAGTTCATCACACCCTGCGACCCTCGTGCTCGATGGAAAAATCAAAACAGCAAATTTTACAAACTGCATTCATCTTTCGTTTAAATGAAGTGTGTAAAATTTAGAGGGATTTAGTGGCATCTAGTGATGAGGACTGCAGATTGCAACCTGCTGAAACTTCTGGGTGGAATTCCTTCAGAGTTCATTGTTCATGAGCTGAATTATCCTCAGATGTCTTCCTCTTAAAACAAACAGAGCAGCTGAATAAAACCGGTAAAAACACTGAATAAAGGTGTTCAATGTTTAAAAAATCTGTGTATTTGTGACGCTCTTGTTGCAGAGCATCTGGTAACTATGGTGACGAACACAAAAAGTGTCCCTATCTAGAGTGAGTTGGTGCTTCTTAAGGTCGAGGAAAGATCCTTAAACAGCTGAATTTCAAGGAGGCCACATCATCGAATCCCACCGATGTCAAAGAGTCCTTGAATTCTACAGAGAACTGAGTCTTTTTCAGATTCAGAAAATTCAGAGAATTTTCAAAAATGCATGTTTGCATCCTCAGCAGGGATGAGGTACCCATGATCCTTTGCACACAATTTGCCAGAATTGAAGGCGGGGCCTCTTAGTGATGCACACCAAGGCACTTGCTAGCCTAGCGTTCTGGGCTACTGTAGAAACATGGCGGTGCAGCAGGGCGATCTCTGTAGACAAGGACCTGCTCCCTGTGTAGATATAAACGTCTCATTCTGAGGGAACGAAAACACAGTGATTCTTATTTTCAGCTGATTAAAGAAAATATCATATTTCAGTTCTGACAATATATCTGCCTAAATCCTACACACTGGAGCTTTTCAGCATCACACTTGTATTTGTGGTTTCTACCAAACATTGTTTAAAAACACATCTGTTTTTCTCACACTTCCTGCCTGAATACACCTTTAATCACCCTCCATCTGAAACACGCCATTTTAGCGCCTGTCTTTTTAAGTCCCCCTCCCAAAACAGCCCTCTCAGCTCTGATTGGTCACTGTTTCCACATCTGCGCTCTCAGTATCTCAGTCTGTCTCAGTATGGTTGCAGTCTGGGAATGACTGTAACGGCACTGTAGCGTAGGGCTGCGTGATGTAACCACTGTGTACAATATATCGATATATTTTCAAGCGAGATATGAATTTAGACAACACCATTTATATCAATGTAGGGTCAAGTTGCGTTACATAACGCCGTTCTCCATCAACACCCAGAGACACAGAGCTGCTCCTCTGTTTAATCTGTCTGGTCATGAGCGCAGCAGCACACGTGCAGTACAGTGATGCGCTGCTAGTTTGTGTGTGAGGTGGATCATCGCGCGTTGATGTTCTTCTCAGTGGTTGTAGTCTATTTTGTAACATGGAGAGAACCGAGATATGAACTTTTGTCTACATCACCCAGCCCTCCTGCAGCGGCAGTTTCTACCTTTTATATTGTGCAGGTGTGACATCATAACCTCTGACGGCTGGTTTACAGGCACAGTTTCTTTATACGGACCGAGCGTTTAGTTACTTTCACAGTACTGATAGAGCACCTCCGCCTGCTTTGTATTAAAAAGACATGGAAACCTGACTTACAATACTGGCAGGGGCGAACGGTAGACTTGTCGATGAGTCATTGGTCTACTTTACAGCGCCAGAAACAGGGTGTGAAAATTTGTCAGAAATCTGGAGAAATACAGGACAGTCGTGTCCCTGAGAGGAAACCAAGAAAATTGGGTGGTTTGGTTGGTGTAACAGTCACGGGTGGACATTTTCCTGATTATATCTACATGCTTTAACTGAAGGAACGTTTTCAATGCAGGACTTTGACTTGAAAGAGAGTATTTTCACAGTGTGGTATGAGGGTCTGAATACTTCCTCCACCGCTGACGGTTACCGTCACACAGAATATCTGATACCTTGCTGATGTTGTTCCTCTGGTGTGTGTTACAGGGTGTGACGGTGGAGCAGGTTTGTCGTGAGCTCAGGAGCCTCTACGTCGTCAAGAATCTGTCCTCCGACTCCTCCGTCTCCATGACCTGCGAGCCTTCACTCAGCGCCAACAACGAGATCCACGTAGCCATCGTGAGTCACATCTGGTCTGAGAGTCTGTCGGCGTTAGTGTTTGACCAAAGCAGAAGAAAACTCTGCAGCGTAGTGTGATGATTTTAAAGCTGTCATCAGCTGATGTGATCTGGTCCTGATTTCCTCTGGTTTCCAGTACATCACATTAACATTTACCAAAAGTCTAGAGTCTAAATCCAAACCTATTCTATAATTAGAACATGGAAATGGAGCAAGTATCTGGAGATAAGAGCACCAACACTGTCGCTGCTGCAGCCAGAGAAATAAAATGCATCCACTGTGCCAGATGATTTTTTTTAGGAATGGAAAAGCTTTCATGACTTATTGTGTTGCATGAATCAGTGATTAGAGGGTACCAGCGTTTATTTAGACTGAACTGTCACAGATAAACAGGCTGTAATGGAGTTTTTGTGTTGAATATTTCAGTCGACAGACGACCAGAGGAGAGGTCTGACCTTTGTCAAGGATATCACAGACAGGATCATGGATCTGGTCAGCAAGAGGAGCGCCAACAGCACCATCATCAGCGCCATCGCAGAGGTTCGGATCCAGAGACGACAGAGCCACAACCCCAACGGTGAGCCACTGAATGGAAAAAACATCAGCGCTTTACAACTCTCATTTATTTGAGCAGAAAACTTCATTCTTGACTTTGGGAATTATAGTTTGACAAAATAATCTAAATTAGAAGGAGCACTTAGTGGCTTTCTTGATGCCAAAGACTATTTTTGAACAGTTTTTACACTTTGTGATGACGTCTGAGTTACCGACTGAGCAGACGGGTCACTTTAGATTCATTTTGCTTTCGATAGCCCGACACCCATTAACCTGTAACCAACAGTTTAAAACTGCTCTCACTGCACAGTGCAATACCCACCCTGACAACCGCCTACAGGCAAGACTGTTCCCCCCAAAACCAGAGTGTTTTTTGAAGTGGTTGCTGCTGCTGCTATGATCCACGGCTGCGCTGACAGGCAGGTGCTTCAGTGAGCACTGGAAGAAGTGCAAGCTAGCTTATTGCGACAGAAATCACTGACATAGCCAAAGATTTCCACATATTGGGACAATTTACCACCAGAACATTATGAAGCCAGCAAGGCAGAGCAAAATCTGTGAGTGTGCATGTGGGCGGCAACTAGGGTTGGGTCGGTATGAAGAAAAAAAAAAAAAAACGGTCCGGTTTTTGTAAAAAACCGCATCAAGTCGGTAATACCAGATTTTCGCCACTTGGGGGCGCAGTTGACTCATTTAAAATAAAAAACGACCTTAGGACAGCATAGTGACAGTAACAAGTTGTTTCTTTAATTCCTTACAAATAAATTTTGCAGCTTACTCAATCAGTGCAAACAAGGGTTGCCTCCTTCGTCTGGCTCAAAGCCAAAGTGTTGCCATAGTGGCGCATTCTTTGATTTCTTTGAGACTAAACTGTCCGCCATTATCGACTCCCCGTCACTATTAAACAAACTCCAGGCTACAGTAGAGGTGCATGCGCACTCGCACCCCCGAGCTCAGTCCCCGCCCCACCCCCCTCTCTCTCCTGCTTGCTGTGTGCTTGGTGAAGAGGCAGACACAGGTGCTCACAGACTCGGGCTTACTATAAGCAGAGCGGACTCCGTGTAAAAATGTCCGTGAAAAATCCCCGCGATGTGAAAAATACATGCCGAACAGTCTTTTGTGTGACACTGGTGCGCGGAGCGGAGTCCGTGCGGCCGTACTTTGCGCACACAGGGCTTGCGGACGTTCACTTTTACCGGGCAGACCTCCGCGGAGTTCGCTCCGCGTACGTTCCGCCCGAGTATGTGGTCTGGTCGGTCTCAAAAAAAAAAAAAAAAAAAAAACCCGGTCCAAGTCGGAGTACCAAACCAAATTGGTATTACCGAAAACCGACCCAACCCTAGCGGCAACCGCTTTATAGTGCTACCGCCATGTTGAAAGCCACTCCCCCAGTGCAGCCTTTCCCTCATTAACTTGACTGGAGACTGTGAGTTACTGCGTGGCGATGTGAAAGCCCTTTCTCAAATTTGCATACGGGACACACAGAGGTGACATCCATCCATGATATCCATCTTCTTGTCTGATGTTGGCTAAAGCAGGAAACAAATTTCAAAATGTCAGGCCGGTCCTTCAGTTACAGTTTTGTTCAAAATTTTTAAAACAATGTGCACAGTCTAGTTTTTAAATCAAGAGTCTTGAGTTGTTTATTGACCTCCTTTCTTCTGTCTGTCCAGCAGACCACCTCGTGCCCCTGCTGGTTTCTGTGGTCATCGTTGTCTGGGTGTTGGCGATCGCCTCGATGTTGCTGTGGTGCGTGAGGAGGCGGAGGAAGCAAAGTGCCCACACTGGGGTCAGCACGCAGTCGGCAGCGTCTTTGGCACCAGCAACCGAGGACAACAACGCCCTCCACAACAGCGTCAGTGCTGCCCGGGAGCAGCTCAACCACATCAAGAACCCCATTGAGAAAAACCCCCCCAACCAGCACCACCAACACCACCACCACCTTCTCCATCACCACCTCTGTGAGGACAAGAACGCCGTAAACGCCAAGATCCGGAAGTCGGACACTGGAAGCCAATCAGATGAGGATGAGATGGACAAGAGGCTACAGAAGGCGAGGTTCCCCCGGGCACCGCCGGCGTACTCGCTGGTAGACTGGGAGGAACGACCCCCCCACTGTACAACAGGCAAACCCCCACACTGGACTAGCAAACAGGACAACAGGCAGCTGCAGACACAGAGTGTTAACAGGATGGAATATATTGTATAACCAGCGGGGTTCAGAATGAACACATGGTCCTCAGAGATCAGACCCCCCCCCCCTCCAGTGGTGGAAGACTTCTGGTTCTTTTTTATATTCGTCTTTTGTTCAGGACTGAACGTCGAGATGGATGTTGCTGTTTAATTTATGACGCTGGTCTGAACGGTCCACTGCGGTTGGCTGGATCTCCCATTATGTGGACGCCTTCGTAAAGGACAGAATCTGGGTGTGCAGGAGCCTTGCTAAGAGACGTACATGCACGACTGGTATCTTTGAGTCAGTGCTTTGTTGCAACACAGCACTTGACCAGTTTGGAAAAATATTTATTTTGTTTTTGGGGGGAAAATTTGAGTCCATATGAAGAACCGTCCATGTAGAATGTTTCTGTATAGATGTGTAAATAATGTTTTAATTAATCATTGTGCAAATTTGATTTATTAACTTAATCGTCAAGAGCCTTAAGATATTCCTTTTCTTTAATTTATGAATTTTGTTTGGAGTTTGACAGCTTTGTAAACTCAAGACTTCTTAATGAATTTTTTTATATATATTTTAACGCTAAAAGTGTTCTTGAAAGAATAGTTTTTTAGCCTTTTGGATTCGGGCATTTTTGTGCCTCAACTAAATGTTTTGTACTTTGTCCGCCTGATGCCGTTTTGTTGGTATGTTTGCCAGGATGTTCTGTTGTTAGTACTCTACATGTAAATGGAGAGGGTGGGGAGGGGGTGAAGGCTGGGTGGTTACAGACAGATGTTGCTGCTGAGGGTCTTTTTTATACACACCAGTCACCAGAGGAAATGGTTGGCATTGTACATTTCCGCTAACAGCAGATACGTTACATTTGTACAATATTATATAATGGATAAAACCTGTTTCAACATTGCTGTGGTGAACGTGTTCAGGTTTAGACACAAAAAACACTTGAGCACCTCCCTAGTGTTTTTTTCCCAGGAAGCGCACCAGGTTTTGAAGACATATTTTTTGTAGTGGACAAACAGTGAAACTACACAGTCACGTGATGCCCTGCAGCCCAAAAAGACTTTTTCCCATTGACTTACATGGCAAAAAACCCAATCTGTAAATAAGTGGATGAATTTTAACCCACACAAAATGATTTGTGTCATTATCAGGATTTGATCCATAACATATTCTAAAGTCTAAAAAAAGAGACACTATTAAATAATTTTATCCCTATTTAAGTAAGTGCTACGCTAGGCTAGCAAGCTAAGCTAGTAGTAGCTAGCAAGCGAGTGCGCTAGCTAGTGGAAAAGTTGTCTACTTCCACTTTAAACTGGCAATTTTGAACCCAAAGCCGAGGTTATTTTTACAATGATGACCTAAAAAATATTTACTGTTAGACTGCTGCATCATCACGACCGGCTGAATTAATAATGAAGTAGCTTTATAAAGTTAATGTCTGCAAAGTAATGAAAACCCCAGAGAACGAATTGGATTTACCCCCCCCCCCCCCCCCCCCCCCCCCCCCCCCCCCCCCCCTTATAATACTGTGAAGTGATTGGCTGAATTTAAAAAATGACTGACAGCTTGTTCAGTCAGCGTATTGGTGAAATCAGCTTTTGATTGATGGGGATTGTAAGCCTCTGATTGGCCAAATTAAAAAATGATAAACAGTTACCACGCCCCGTCAAAGTATCCAACCTGCACAGACACATACCCGTAAAACTTCAATTAAACGCCCAGTCCCTGTTACTGGCCTGGTGTGGCTACACATTTTGACCAGTAAAGGCCTGTCTCAATCAGAGGCCTGGTCTGGTTGCCAAGCAGTTAATTTTTATGGATGTATAAAATCAGGATGTTAGTTGCCTACTGACCTAATGTCAGTTAGCTGTTTAGATCACATACAAATATTAATGTTTAAACTTTTGCCAATATGGAGATGCTACCTACAGTGAGCTCGGTTGATTTCATTTTACTGAAGGAAGACCGTAATGCATTCAGATTTACCGGCATGACGAATAAACAAGTGGTGACTACTGGGTAAGTTATTTATATTCCTTCAGTCTGTAAGGGTCCACTGATCAACAGAATCAAAAGCGTTTTTCCTAAAAAATAATTGTAAAAATAATAATTGTTTTAGCAGGAAAAGGTGTTGTGTCGGTGTGCCGGGTGCCGTTAAACAAGTGCCGTAACAAAACACATAAATGATACGTTAGAAGCCTAATTTTTACACACCTAATATTTGGACTGGTTCAGATAAACTATTTAATTGTATTTCCCAAACTCACACCAGGACAGCATTACCAGCAATAATAGTGAATGAATGGCGCTGCTAGCTAACTTAGTGCAGTGCAGAACAGGCAAGGCTAACATTAGCTAACCAGCAGGGCTATGTTTCTACGTGTTAACACAACCAGCTGCCTGTCTGTCAGCACATCCAGCAGAAAATAAAATGAAAGGCAAAACATTTAAATTTGGCCACCTCTAAATGAGTAGCGATTTGAAATGCAGCGCTAAAGCTCTCAGAGTCAGTGGAGCGCCAGAGCAAAAGGAGAGGCCTCTAGTATTTCACCTCATTTGTGTTTTTAATATATAAAACATTAACCTGTTAGTTACCGGGTAATGGGTGTCAGACTACCAGAAGCAAAATTAATCAAAATCTCTAGTTCATATTCTGCGTCACTTTAGAAACGTTGACATCAAACGTACAAATGTAACGTGTCATACATGGTTTGCAGAAAGGTACAATGCCAACGTTTTCCTCTGGGCTGTTTTATACAAACCAACATGGTGGCAGACATATTGCTTTTGCTACTGAAAAGAAATTCTTTAAGGGACGCGACTTGTTTTGTAATTATTTGTACATACAGTGTGAAGAAAAAAAGGGTTGAGCTGTAGATCCTGTTTCCATGTTTGTAACATCTGAATGATCAAACCTGAGTAATCGAAAGGAGTCCTGTGGAGTTTAATGCTAACGTTTACATTCAGTGAGGTCTGACAAAGGTCTAAAACTCCACAGGGAACCTTTACTTGAAGAGAGAGTTCAACATTGTAGAACTGTCATGTGACGTGTTTCCTGTTGTTGACTGGAGGATAAAATGAGGCTGTGAAACCATGTTTGACTTCAGTCATCTGCCCCGTTAGTTTATGATGGAGGAATAAATAAAACATGTTTTTCTCATATTTCAAATGAAAGTCTTTGTGTTTGTTAGTGGCAACAGTGACGTAATGTTTGGAGAAAGTTATGTTTCTTAAAAGATGTGGAGTTAAAAAAAATATCTGATCACTGATGCAGCTGATGATGCCAGTTTGATAGAAACTCTGCGCATGTCATTCCTAAAGCTCAAGTCTTCTCTAAATCTCAGAGCGTTTAACCCTTTAGTACGGAGGCCGTGGGAGCTGAACACACTGCAAGTTAAGAAAACATCACCAAGTTGCACCTGCGAAAAAAACAAACAAAAAAACCCACATGACAACAGAGACCGTTTCCAGGGAACACTAGAAAGTGAGGCACACGGCTGAGCAGGAGCTGAATTATCCACAGAGGTCTCCTCCTCTCCATAACAAACAGACCGGGGGCCTCATTCATGAAACACTGGTAGGATCCTACTTTAAGTGTACGTGTGCCCAAAAAATTATGATATTTGGTGGCCACAGTATGGCATCGCTAATAAAGAGAAACAAGTGAGTGGCAGCACGTCGTCACCGTCGTATATAGTGTGAGAGGTGAAGAAGAAGAGGTGGAGGCCAAGAGGAGAGTGGCATGGCACCGTCAAAGCGTGTCTGCTACAGGTGGGGGTCAGGGCACACCGGAGCCCACACCGCTGGACACCAAAATAGCCTCCATCCTTGGGACGGCCAGCGTGTGTGGCACAGTGTCAGAGAGGGAAGGAGACACAGATATGGCGGAGACCAGAGAGGACACCGGTTAAGTACAATTTGATCTGTTTATTAAATGTATAAATTAAATATTTCAACAGAGACTTGTGAAAAGGCACAGTGGACTAATGTTGTATCCTCAGTCACTCTAGAGTTGGAAGCGGTGGGTGACGAGGAGGTTCCCAGCACGGCGTGTCCTGGCACCGTGGCTGAAGGCCTGGCTGTCCCCAACACCAGTGCAGGCAGAGGGACACCATCAGTGCATTCAATGAAGTCAGAGACGAACTCCAACAAATACATCATGAGTAACGTGTGATGTCATGTCTGAAATTGCCAGCTCCATTAAAGATCTTGTTAAAAAATGAAACCTACTTGCTGACTACAAACGCCGCATGACACCTTCACGGAGCCTTGGGGGGGAGGGAGGCCAGGCGGGACAGGAATGGCGTCCCTCAGTGCCACGTTGTGCAGAACACCACACGCCCTAATAATTTTACACACCTTTGTTGGGTGATAGAGCAGTGTGAGTGCACTCTATGGCGCCGATTACATTTGGGAAACCGGACATTGCTGCAAATTGCCTTTTAATGTTGGCCTGTTCACCCACAGTGTAAGGAAACCTGATGTATCGACTGGTCATGTAAACAATGCCATCCAAAACAGCTGGCATCATTGTGCTGAGGGATGGCTGTGATATCCCAGACCTAAGGACAGAATTTAACTGCATTATACCCAAAAGGGGCTTTAGACAGAACATATAACACGATATATTGTTAATCATATCAAACACATACCTGTCAGCTAATTCCCGCTGGAAAGAGCCGGTTGCCAGAAACCCCGGAGTGGTCAGCACCTGTATATGCACTGGGATGGCGCGGTTCCAGCGGGTCGGTCTGTCTAACACTGGACCCAGTTCAGATCCAAGAGCACTGCTCTAGGGAATCTAAATCGGCTTATTAGCCAGTCATCATCATGGGCCAGGAAATCTTCATGGTCCCTAAAGACTCTCTCCATCCTGATCCTACCATTAGCGTGATCTTCCAGCAGTGCCAGCACATCCATTGTGCAGCATTACGCATGGCTGTCACCGCGCTATGTATATGCTTACTCAGCAATTAGACTGATTGTTACACACCTTGTCACAATTAATAATCAATCAGTGCTGTCCACTGCTCTATATCATTTGAAGATGGAAGTATGATATATGAACAAATACAGTAGTAGGCCTAATGGCTCACTAAAGGAACACATCTCTAACACTGCAGACTTGGGTGTTTATGATTAAGTGGATATAACTGAATCTGGCTTCAATTCACCACCTCACCATCTGCGCCACCAGTTTCTCCCGTCTCCAAAATGTTCGTGCGCACATTCTCCCTCCAAGTTTATTTTTATAAATCACAACGTTTGCGCAGGAAGTGGCGCGTGCATCTTTCAGGCCCCGTTTTGTGCGTAAGCAACATTTATAAATGAGGCCCCGGCAGATTTAATCCATAAAAACACTGAATAAAGACGTTTCACTTTACAAATCACCGTTCCTCCAACACACTCGTCCACAGGAGCTTCTGACCACAGCGGCCGCCACACAAAAACAAGAATGTCCCTATAGAATGTCACTGCAGTACTGCAGCGTGTGCTCATGTGTGGACACTGTCAGCTGGTGAAGGAGTCACCAATGTCCTTCCAGACATTTGAACCCCTAATGAAAAGAAAATCCACCATTTCATGCACGTGCCAAAGGCTTCGGTTTGTTGCTCTTTTGACCCGGACACACATCTCGCCTCATAAAGGCGTTTATCGGAGGCAGCAACAGAAGTTGCTTTGTCTCCGATTTTCCAGACATCCTCTGGTCTTTATCTCGATCACACACTGTCCTCTGCAGACATGTTTATGAAGCTCTGAACGCAGCACGACTGACCGTCCCTCACAGATAAACAACATGACCAAATGCTTTCCCTGCAGGAATCTCTGCTCCGATACCCGAACTCTGATCAGAACAAAGAGAGTGAAGGGAACTGCAGCCCCGCTCCTCCAAACAGGCTGCT